AAGAAGAGGGTTGAATACAGAAAGAATGAATACAGAATCCAATGCCGCTTATCGATTATGGAGCGAAATCTGCTTTTAGAGTTTGCCCCCAATCTCTGCCTGGATCACAGGAAAAAGATTTATGCCGGTTTTCGAGGCATTCACAGCCAACAAAGCCTGACAGTTTCTTGTACTTTTTGGCCTAGGAGAGTATCAGTATTGAGTCGCATTTGTCGGCAGCAGAAAAAAAAAAGTGCCTTATCTCCAAAATGGCTTTTTAATAGGACCAGAAGGACAACTGATTACGGCTAAAAGCGTACCAGAAAATAAGTGCACTAATGTAATAAAAAAATGTCAAAAAAGTGTCGGAAAACTAGTTGACTAATGAAAAAATAGTGACTAACTGTCAAGGATGGTCAGATAGTTACAGCTGTATCAGTCTCACCTTTCCGTGAATTTCTCAAGAAAACTCCAGCAACCTTCCCACTTTTCTCTGTAAGCAACTCTAATCCTAACGTTGGAAATTGCAGTACGTTGCGAAGCGGCGCTGTAGCGCGACGCTGTAGCGCTACGCTGTAGCGCGACGCAGTAGCGCGACGCTGTAGCGCGACGCTGTAGCGCGACGCTGTAGCGCGACGCTGTAGCGCGACGCAGTAGCGCGACGCTGTAGCGCGACGCAGTAGCGCGACGCTGTAGCGCTACAAGTATGAACGCTGCCTAAGCAAAATGGTATTTTCTTCCCAATCCTCGGTCAACAGGACTTTTGTTAAACTTCCCTAGTGGGGGTCTAGGGCGGGGGGGGGAATTTGCCCTTTCTGTGGAGGGGGGGGCGTAGAGATAGAGAGGATTCATTTTTCCGAGAACTGCTCCAGGGGACCCTTTCTCTTTCTTTCTCATCTGAAGAGACCATTTTGGCTGTCATGAACATGTTCCTGTTGATAGCCCGTTTGCCCTAGAGCATGCGCCGACCGGAAATGGACTAAGATGTTCTTTTTGCGTAGGCTTTCGGTACCACTCCGATGACCCGCCCTCAAGCTGGATCTGCACATTGAGGAATGAGAGCCAACTGTTAGAAGGCTTCTCCCTCGTAAACCGAATGTTCTCAGCTTGGTTATTGAGGAGGTCGAAGCACGAGTCTATTTCCCTCTCTGTGGTGCAGACGATGAGGCAGTCGTCTATGTAGCGTTTGTACAGGATGGGTCGGCGATCCAGTAACGGTTTCTCTATCTTGGACATATAGGCAATCGCTAGGACTGGTGCCAGCCGCTGACCCATGGCCAGACCTCTGAGCTGCCTGTAGTATTGACCGGCCCACCTAAAAATGGAACAAGCGAGACACTCTTTAACAAGTGTCATTATGTGAGCTGTCGACAGGCCACTTCGCACTGTCTCGCCAGAGAGGGGGAAGACGAATGAACATGACGTGACTGAGCTCCCGAGCGTCACCAGTCAAATACAACTATTAGAAATAGGCAGTTTCATAGTGACTTTAAAGCACCACGAACTAGAGGGGGGAAGGGAGGGACAAGATGCAAGTAAAAAATAAAAACAAGGAAAGTCAGCAACCGGAACAAATTTTTTGACGCTTCGAAAAAATTTTCTCCCGTTTCGCATGCGCTGTTGGGAGAATTCCATGGGGGAAGGGGGATGGGGAGGAGGGTCGTCTCGACACTGAGTGAAAATTCAGACGACTCCTCTCGCGGCAAGATATAAAACCCTTCTCCAGTGGTCAAATACAATCCTTCCCCTCACCTTATATTCTATGAAACGATGAGTCGTCATGCGCTATATTCCCCTTTCAAGGCGCATAGCGCTTACATTTCTTTCATTAACTTGCACATAGGCTCTCTCGGCTACCCACACTACAAGGTAAATTCAAATGCCGCTAGAATTCCAAACTAAAAAAGAAGACATGGCGCGCTCCCGCAACTGATCTGATCAACTTTGATGTCAAAAAATTCATAAGAGCCAATTATACTATACTGATGCCCTATCGATTTCAGGATGTGCTTTCTTCGCGTGGGCTCTCAGTCCTCTATTCGACAGTAAACGGTTCCCAAGTGCTAGCCATTACCCTGGCCTTGAAAATTACTAAGTACTACCATCATCCCACGCAGGAGTACGAGATAACGTTTCGGCAAACCGAAACGCAAACCGAACGCACTGAAACTCGAACTGTTCAAACGCAGGTGAGTAGACTATCGACTTTCACAACTTTTCCGCACGCTGCAAGTGTAAACCTGTGCACGACCCATCCGCTCATTTGCAGTTCCATCAAAGGCACAATTCACGCTGATCGCGTTGACGGAGCCACCAAATTTCTGCTTTTCGCCCGCATTCTCTCATCCTCTTGCGCGGTTCAATAGCCACTGTGACCTCCACATATCAATCTTGTTTCTGCATAATGGACTGACTCGCTCACGCCAGAGTCAGCTTGCAAAAGCTCCATCTTCCTGCTTCGTCCACAGTAGTCTTCATGTACCATTCCCATGTCTTCCAGTGTCCGCTGTCCTTTACCTTAGTTGCCCCCATGCAAGGATTTCAGAACAGGACCCTCCACAAAACGTCAAATTTCTATTGACGTTTTGTGGAGGGTCCTGTTCTGAAACCAAACAAGCCTCATGCAACAATGACGCTGGCGCTGCGACCCGCCCTCCTGGCCAGCATGCCCAATGGCTTTAACATAGGTGGACTTTTTTATCAGCCATGACTTCAATATTGTGCTTTTCAGGTGCATCGGCGCTACTCAACGACCGGCTCAAACACGGAGCTTCACCTTCTTTCTGCATCTGAACTCGAGGATACAGTAGCCAACGTCGTTTCTCAGTTTTTGCACCTCCCAGTGCCAAAGGATCAAGCTGAGCCGCAGCCAACTACAGAAGCAAGGAGGCCAATCATTAAAGAACCAGAAGAGGGAGGAAAGGCTTTGAACGGGATCTTAGGTAAAAACCTTGTACCTCGTCTCCAGAAGTTGAGAGTTCTGGACAAGATGATCGGCGAACGAACAGCACTGGTAGAACGATTTGACGCGAACTTGGTCAAGCAGGAAATTGCTCGTAAAAGAGCGTTTATCTTGAAGTGTCGGATGGCCAAAGATGGCAAGGTGCCTCCTAGAGAAGCTCAAAAACTGCCGCCCAAAGTGCCCTTGAAACAGACTCGTGAAGTAGCCACACAATTCGAGAAGAAGACGTCGTCCTCAGACTCCTCCACGACATCTGAAAGTGCTGGAACAACCTCGGAAAGCAGCGAGGAATCAGAAGAGTCCGAAGAGACAGACGAGTCACAGGCGACTTCTACTGAAGAGTCATCAGCAAGCGAGAGCAGAACCTCATCATCAAGGGAGACGATTCTGAGAAAAAATTCCTCCGCCGTACCGGTGGGCAAACATTCGCCCAAGAAGGACGATAGGTGGGCCTTTGCGGTATTATATGTCGTGTTATTCGGCTTGGTGGGGGCATATTTCCACTTTCACTAGTTCCTTTTGTTGGTTCATGTCCGTCAAAAGGTTCCACTCAGTAAGACCTGTAAACTTCTGTGAAGCCGTGAAATTGCGCAAGTGAGCCGCTTTGGCCACAGGAATTTACAAGTCTTCACAACATGGCCTGTACAAGCTCCGCTGAGCACCATTTGATGACCCCATCAAGCCGAACTGCGCCCTTAATCAATAGCCTTTCAAATGAATTTTCAGGGACACAGAGGAACCACCGACAGTTCCTTCACCGACT